GCACCCAGACCAGCCCCTCCCCCTCCCCACTGCAGCTGGAAGCACCTCGGCTTCCCCCACCGCAGCTGGAGGCACCTCAGCCTCCTTCAGCACAGCTGGAGGCACCTCAGCCTCCCCCGCCACAGCTGGAAGCACCTCAGCCTCCTTCAGCACAGCTTGGAGGCACCCAGCCTCTCCCATCACAGCTGGAGGCACCTCAGCCTCCCCCACCACCTCCTCCTCCAGCCTCAGAACTGGGGGAAACCTCCCCAAAAGCAGCAGAACCTGTGATCCCACCCCAGCTCCCATCCCTGGGCTGTCCTGGAGCTGATGGGCAGGGACCTGGGGGTGAGGACAGCCCACCCTCTGTGCACCCCCCATCCTCCTACCCCCCCAGTCCCCCCTGAACCCTCCAACTCACATGTCACTGCTGGCTGAGGGCTTGGGACAGTCCTGGCTGGGCAGGGTGGCCTCCATGATCTCGTTGAAACGGGTGTTCCCAACACTGACAGCCAGCTATGGAGAGGGAGGGATGGGGGCTGAGCCCCCCCCAGCCACCACCACCCACCTCCATCCCCATCCCAGGAATCCATCGGATCCCACCCAGGACCTTCCCCAGAGCAGCATCTTCTCTGGGAATGCTGCTTCTTTCATGGTGGGTGTTTTAAAAGGAGCAAACCCTGGGGGGCTGCTGGTATTGTGTCCCCCACCCCCTCAAGGAATGGGTTTTGTAGAGCCCCTCCCCCCTCAAAGTCACTTGGACCACTGCCAACTGCAGCTGGGGAAACTGAGGCACGTTTGTGAGAGCTGGAGCAGACTGGGCAGAGATGGGATAGGGGAGGGATGGACTCTGATCCCAGGTTGGGAAGATCAATCCAGAGACCCGTTTGGGTTTGGAAGGGACTTTATATAAAGATCATCTAGTTCCAAGGTGGAGATTCCCAGGGGCTGGGAGACCTCCAGGCTTGGGGAGCAGCTCACCAGCAGCTCTGAGGTGCTGAGGACATCCAGGGTGAGGGACTGGATCCTGGAATAATGCACCCCCAGCTCCCGATGGATGCCAGAGCACTCGATGCAGGTCAGGATGCCCAGGTTGGTGGAAAGCCAGGTGGGGTCTACAGGAGGGGTATGGGGGAGCAGCACGGGGCTCAGCACCCCCACAGGGTGCTCCAACCCCACCCTGGAGAACCCAACCCCACAGGAAGGGGGAGGGACACCCCTAGGAACCTACCTGGGGCCCCGCAGTCGCAGCACTGCTTGTTTCCTGGCATGTTCTTCACCTCGTGGATGACCAGCTTGGTGAGGTCCTGCAGGGCAGGGTCCCCCCCACCCCCCCCCACCCCCCCACTCCAGCCTCTCCCCCCACTGCCCCCCGCTGTGGGACCGGGAGGACAAAAACTAACTAGAAACCCGTGGGTTGAGACAAACACAAGGGTTCCCTGAACAATTAGGATCACAGGCAAAACAGGCTTAATTTAGTGAAAAAAATACTAATCTAATTTATTGCTAATCAGATGCAAACAAGACAAAACAAAACCCAGAGCTTAAATACCTTACCCCATCCCTCCCTTCTTCCTGGTCCCAAATTATTTTGTTCCCAATTTTTCTACCTCCTCCCCCACAGTGGCACAGGGGGACAGGGGGACAGAAAATGGCGTTCAGTCAGTTTGTCACGTTTTCTGCCGCTCCTTTATCCTCTGGGAGAAGGATTCCTCACTGTCTTCCCCTGCTTGCCCACGGGATCCTGCCCGTGGGAGACAGTCCTATCCAGCACCACGAGGAGCAGGGATGGGGCTGGGGCACTTACACCACACACTCCTGCTCGTCCTCTGCTTGGAAGTGGTAGGTCCTGTTGTCTGCAGGGATGGGAAGAGGGAGGAGAAGGTGAAGAGGGGATTTGGGAATGCACAGGACAGCAGGAAGGAGCTGAAACTACCCCAAAGAGGCTTCTTTAAACTAAAATTAAACCATTGCACGTTGCTTTTCACCACCCAAGCCCTGCTGGGACCTCTTTTCGTCTTGATCTCCTTGGAGAGGTTGGTCCTTGCCCCACCAAGGCAACGCCCAGAGGTGGATTCAAAGGGCAAAAGGTGCCCAGATGTCCATGGCAGGGTTGGCAGGGGGACAACTGGCCACCGAGAGAACCTCCTTGGGATGCTCTTCTCCAGAAAGGGGGTTCCCACCAGCAGCTTGGCCAGCTGCAGGTCAAGCACACCCCCCCCCAGCCATGGGATCTGGGCACTCACGTGTCACCAGGTCGAAGCATTTCTTCTCCTCGGGGTGGGGCCTCACCTGGCAGGTGAGCAGGTTCAGCTTGACAGGGGGACGGTTGATCTGTGGGGTGGGGGGACAAGAGGGAGGGTGAGGGACTGGGAGGGACACACCTCACCAAGCAGCTACCCCTGACAGCAATTCCAGTGGGACAATGACCATCCCCAGGTGGTCCCTCGTGGGATAATCAGGTGAGAGGGACTTCTTGGACCCTCCACAGAAGAAGATGATGGGAGGGCTGGAGCAGCTCTGCTCTGGGGACAGGCTGGGAGAGTTGGGGTGTTCAGCCTGGAGAAGAGAAGGCTCCAGGGAGACCTTAGAGCAGCTTCCAGGGCCTG